AAATTATGAAATTTCACAAGCGAAATTTTTATAATGCCCAAATAATTATCAAACGTTTCTTAAGAAAAAACTTTATATTTTATCTGTTATTTTCAGTAATTAATCTCTGTACAGGTTCTGTAAATTTGCCCGATCTCGCAACCATCATAAAAAAATTAGGAAATAAACATAAATTATGCATCTTTCATTCTAGAATGAACACAAATTATAACATGAAAACATAAATGTTTATACGAAAAAGCTTAAATCTCATAAGATTATACATTTATATATATTTATTATTTTTATTATACTGACCTTTCACCCGTGCCTGGCTAACAATACAGAAGTTACAATGACACGACTCACGTGCACTCATTTTACCGTATTAAATAACATATAGGTGACCTCTGGTCTGTACAAAGTAACTTGTCTTGGTTGTGTTTTAGTCAACTAGTATTTTGTAAAATACAGTCACATTTCAATTATTATACATTATATATGTATATAGATTATTACTATTTTGAAACAAGTTCTTAGTTATTTTTCCTAAAACATAAAACAGCAAATAAAGAAGTAAAGCAAACAATTATATCTTCTAGTTATGACATTTGTGCTCAGTTGCTGCTTGACATAAGTTGCTAAGCCTTTCAAAATTTTGCATGTGGGGGATATGAAAGAAAATATTTTTTTTAGGTTTTATATATATCCATTTGAATAACTAAAAAATCATAAATTACTACATCAATACCATAGAATTCAACTATAATTTATCAAGCTTAGTAACTAAGATGTATTTTACTCTAAAAAAATATGAAATTTTGAGCAGACTAAATACACAACCTACTTCATTGAAATCTTAATTTAAAAGAAAGAAATGAAGCTAGGTAAGTTAGAAAGGCTTAGAAAACCACTATGGGGAAATTCTGAGCTTCTGATAGGTTATTCATGTCAAGTAAGTGTTTATAAGGGAGCGTTTCTAAAAATGGAAGGAGGTGAGCAGGATGCCACTATGTTTGACTTATTATGTGAGCAATATTTTAGCAAATTGAAAAGATAAGACCTTATTTTATATTCTAGCTTGTCAATATCTGTAATTTGAGTTTCTAATTCGTATGAAACTATAGACTTGGTATTTTGACTTCACAAACATCTAATTTCAACCAGTGTTGGATTCAACATACCATGTGACACACAAAAAAATCAATGTTTATCTGTGTTTTTTTTAATATTCACTTTTAAATTAACAAATTGAGTAATGTATAGTTCTAAACTTTGAATTATAATCTACAGTTTGATACAAAACTTATTGACACAAATTCATGAAATAGTAGTTCAATAAAATTTTGAATGAGAGTCAACAAACGAGATGACACGGCCTTTCACCCGTGACCCATATAGAAAGGGTTAAAAGGAATATGTATTGGATTTATGCCAATAATTAAAAAAAAACAAGAAACAAATGTCACCTACCTGTTTCATGGTCGTAAACAAGAAAGCTTCTCTCAACAGGCCCAAATTTTTCAACTAATTGATTAAAATCTTTTTCTCCAAAAGTGAGTGGAAGGTTGGACACACAAAGAAAATTTTCGGCATTTGAAAACTGGACAACAACTTTCTTTCCTTTCAGCAGAGTTGGTACTTCTGTTGTACAAATTAATGGATCAAACGTTTCTGGCTTCTCAAGAATGACTTTGGCTATGGAAATTATTTAAATACATCAGTAAACTAATAAAATAATAATAATAAAAAACTAATAATAGTACAATTATGTACTGATAGTTATTAACAGTATTAATTAATATCAGGTCGTAGAGCTATATAAATCTATAGACTGTGAAATAGCTCAATATTGATTAAATATACAATTATGGGTTGGAAGTACATAAAACGAAGCAGATTCAACCTCTGTGACAAGCCATAGGCTAGTGATCTAAACATATGATGAAAGCTTTTTTATGACATAGACTAGTGATCTAAACATATGATGAAAGTTTTTATGCCATAGGCTAGTGATCTAAACATATGATGAAAGCTTTTTTTATGACATAGGCTAGTGATCTAAACGTACGATGAAAGTTTTTTTTATGACATAGGCTAGTGATCTAAACATATGATGAAAGCTTTTTTATGACATTTTCAAAAGTACAAACCAATGTGGCTTCCAGTTCATTGGAGATTCGCAGAGAAATCAAGAAAAAATTATAAAACCTTATGTGAATGATACGTTGCCAAGACGTTTGTGAAAAACTTCTGCTGCACAAATAGCCGTTTGTTTTTAAAGATTGCAAAAAACTCACTTTACAATTTAATACTACATTTCAATTATAATGTTGCATTGTTATAAGAAATAATTGTTTTTTTTTTGGAGAACAACATGAGGTAGGCTTAGTGAAATTCTGTATTTGACCATATAAAGTCTTGTTTGCCTACATATCTGCTGTCTTTTACTGTTAGGCTGTGTTTGAATTAGGTCTTATTGACACAATTATCTTTTTGAGTTGAAAAAGAAAATCACCAAAAAGAAATGGATATATAAATATATATGAATATAAAACGGGTTTAAAACTTAATGCATATGTTAAGCTTTGCGGTTAATAATGAAAAAATCAGCTTCTTTATAAATCCAGGGAAGGGTAAAAAAGTTATTTGTATTGTATGCTAGTGATTGTAAGCACATTGTATGCAATGTTTTTTTGAATCAAAAGAAAGTTAAAACTTACAGTTTTATAGTTTGAAAACTTCATACAAAGTTTTAAAAGAATGTGGAAAGACATCATTAAGTGAAATCTACAACAAAGGATTTTTTAATCGTTTCTTAAAAAAAAACAAAAAAACATCACAATGAAATCGTTTTGATTGTTTTAAAGCTATGAATTCATATAAATATAAAGACAAGATATTTTTATTTGCAGAGGCTACATAATCTATAGGAAGATTTGGTTAAAATAGAAATAAGGAAATCCAAAAGGTGTATGAGAAACAGCTGGTTAAAGTTGATCACTATTTCACCTAGCAATTTTTTTTTGCAGTGCAATAAAACAAACCATATAATAAGTGTGTTCAATTAATGCACCTGGGTATTTTAGAATTAAGTGATGGAGATTGTATGGAGCAAACAATGAGTGAGAGATATTTCTTGAAATAATTCAAGGTGTTATTCTATTCCAACTGGTGAGAAAAACAACTGGGAGGGAGACATTTAGGATATTAGAGTTGATTACTAAGAGCAATAATTACATTGATTAGTTATACATAAACTAATTAATCTAAATCATTAAATCTATACATATGTCCCCAAAATAATCTAATAATTGAAACTAGTGACCCTGATTATTCTAGTAATTGATTAATCAAAATTGCAGTGAAATCAACAGTCATGAAAATAATCAACTAAGCAAATCTAGTGTGTCTGATTATTTCAACTATCCAAGTAATTAAAGCATTTTCTTCATAATGTTGTCAAACACAGAGCTACATAATAAGCAACTCTGTACAGCTGTTAACTTGTTACCCAAATAAAGGAAAGGGTGCAGACTTGGTGTACTTAGTATTTTCAAAAAAAAAGCTTTTAATACGGTGCCACACAAAAGATTAGCTAAGAAAATCATACGTTAGAGGGTGGGGAAAGATTAATTACCTGCACTGCAATGTTCCCTCTAATTTTTTCAATCCATGTGCGGAATGAATTTTTTCACATGCACCAGTATTAAGGCAATGTCCAGATATGCGCTAATTTTCTTTAGGGATATTTTCAGACCATCGACCCTACTGGATCATTAGGCCACTTTGCAATGTTACCAGTCAGTTATTTGGACTTTTAGGCCTATCGACTGCCAGGGTCATTAAGACCGTCAACGTTTTGAGATTCCTCACCATTACTGAGGAAGTGCATGGCACTTGACTTAGAGGGAACACTGCTGCAGGGTGGTTGAATGGAAAAAAGCAAAAGGATGTTATTAATAGAGTCCAGTCACACTGGACCTTCATTACTATTGGGGTAGCTTGCTTAGGCCTTTACTCTTTCTTATTAACATTATCAAAATGGGCATAATTATAAGTTAGTTGATGACATTTAATTCTGGAATATTTCTGAGAGCACTGAAGATGTTGAGGTAAACAGAATGCCTTGGATCAGTTGGTAACTTGGACAAATACTTGACAAATGGCTTTTAGTTATAACAGTACAAGGTAATTAGCATTTGAAATAAGGATGGAAATTCAGGTCATCCAGCAGGAAAGCAAAATAGGCAATTCTGGTTACCCACCTAAAATTTTGATTCCCTAAAAAATGACAATTAATCTGTGACACATTTAAAGGAGAATATCTGAATTATGTTTTAATAATTATCCACGTATTGTGACCAATACTAAACAAAAACTTTTAGTTTATTTACATATAACGAACAAATTAAAACAATCTCAGCTGTTTGCTGGTCATCCCTTGACACAAAATACGCTTCGCTGAACCATTCTGTTTATATTGAGCAAAACATCAAAGCTACTAGTTTAGAAAACAAAAGACAACACATATATACTAAGTAGATACACTAGTAAAATAAAAGTTTATTATAGTACATAAACTTCCACTCAATGTTCAGATTACTATCTGTAATATTAGTTTTGTAGATGCTGAAGACTGAATGTTGTCACTTCTGTGGTTTTACTGTTCATCATCACTAGTTTTAGTTTCTTGATTGCCATAGTCACTGATTCTTACACCTTATCTGTTGTTGAAACTATATACTGTCAATATATAAACTCTATAAAATATTACAAGTAACTATCACTATCATAGAAGAAAGTGTAAAAAAGAGGTTTTCCCTTCCCATTACTGGGCAACATTTTAAAATGTTTCATAAATGGAGTAAGTTATAATATGTCCAAACTGACAGTCTCCTACTTACAAGTAAACACGTGCTGAGAAATAAAATCAAAAGTATTTTGACATCAAACTATCCATATATTTCAAGATAATAGATAGATTTAATAAACTTTGATGCTCCTACATTTTTTATTAATACATTTGTTTCCAATGCAGACAAGAATAACTTTGTCACATATAAATTTCACCAGCAAACAAGATGCAAGAACCTAAGAGACTGGCAAACAAAAACCAATATTAAACTCTGGCTCTTTATTATTAAAAACTGTTTAGCATTATAAAAAAAAAAAAAATGTAATGGTTATGGTAACTCATGATCAATACGACAGTTCTGGCACAAAAATCAGGACTGTTTACCTGTCAAAAATAGGTTGCCCAGCCTTGATTGGATGTTTTGGTTGGCCAAGACAAATTTTGGTTCTCGGGCAACAGGAACATCATTTCCAATGCTAGCAATGCATTTGGGTTATCATAATTTGGATCACACCAAATTAACAGAGTGAGTGAAGAAAAAGATCTTAACATAACGGTGGATAACTCACTGATGCAGTGCTTTGTTGTTAATAGTAAAGCTAATAGAATTTTAGGGTGTATTTAAACACATATGGATTACAAGTCAAAACAGGTAATTCTCATTATATATAAAAATCATTATTTAGGCTTCTCTAGGAAATTTTGACTTACTAAAAAGGGCTGAGAAGAGAGCTGCTTGAATAATCCTAGGGATAGAAGGGTTATCTTATAAGGACAGGTTAAGATCTCTCAACTTATTTTATCTTGAAAAAAAAAAGTGTAATCTTAGTAAAACTCACTAGATTGTATTGGTGGAGAGGGGATTGTTGGAACTTAGATATCTGGTTTCTTCATGCTACATTCTATAGATATTAGAACGTGAAAACACAAGTTCAATATTTTAAAAAGAAAGGCTCTAGTTAAGACACTTTTACTTTTCATAGGGTGACTGAATTACAGAATGAGATGATAGACAGTAGTAGTGGCCAGCCTTACAGAAGTTTAAGTGGAAAATTGATGATTTTCTGAAAAGCATAATGTGGGTAGCCAGGGTCAGCTTTGAAAGACCAGCTGGTTCCATGTTGTCCACAGAATATGTTATGAAAATATAGCATCAATTAGACAACTCTTCGTTGCCTTTAGTAAACTATAAAATAGACTATTTCATTTTTATTTATAAAAACATTTTAATCTTGTAAAAATAAAAAACAATAACGTACACACAACCACGATATTTCTAAGTCCCTCTCTTACAACGTTTTATTTTAAAGTAATGTTTTTTTTTCAATAGCCATCTTTTTCTTTTGTTACAAAAATTTGTTAAGCTGTTATTAACCTAAAAAAACAACAAAAAAACGAGGAACTGATGATGTTATAGCATCATAAGTGCATATTTTGTTGATCCTTAAAAGCAAAACTTTAGAAAAACATTTTTGCCTCACCCTATGTATAAGAGATTGAAAAACACTACCTTAACTGTAAGATGTCTGTACATAAGGAACATTTTGGGGGATCATATTATTTTACTTTTTTTCTGCTTAGACATATGAAATAGTATGTTTAAAACTTGTATTCATTTGAAATTTAATGTTCTTTTATAGGAAAATGTCATGGGTCAAACTTACCTCAAAAAATTAAATAAAAAATTCTGTAACAAATTTTTATCTTTACATACATGCAAACATACACACAGGATTATGAAGTGAAACATGTTCATATTACATCAAACACTCAAGTAATAAGCTAGTTTTATCTGAATGTGCTGAATTACCTGAAGCTGTGGCTTTATTGATTTCCACATCTTTAATATCCAGAAAAAATAAAAAGTCCCGAATATCCTGAAAAAAATAATAAACATCCATGTTATTTATTAAAACAAGATTTCATATAAATTGTAAAATCTAAATCACCCCACCAAAGCAAAGGCCACTTTACAGTTTAACCACAGTATATTAGTGTATCATGACTCATTCTATCATATATGACATTTAACTTTTTCGTTAGGCTTAGGTTTATCTCTTTTGTGTGTGTGAAATTAGTGATAGTAGACATAGTCTCCAGCCATTAATAGTAAACACAAGCACCGTTTGATTCTATAACTTGATACTTCTTTATCAAACACTACACAATTATCAAAATGCTGCATAATTATGTTTGTACATCATGAGTAGGATTGATCTACGCATGACGAACTTAAGAAATGTCTACCTTTTCTTCTATGACATCAGACAAATGCGTGATTTGAACAAAACGGCCGTTGTGAAAGAGTCGCATAGACTTTTTCCATTGACTTTCATCTTCCGACATAGATACACTTTCATCTGTTAATTCATTATTTTCCTGCTTTTCTTTAGTGCTACAAACATCTTCTTCAGTATTTTTCGATGTCATTTCAGCGTCGTCATTAGTTGCTACTTCAGATTCACCCTCCATCGCTAATTTGTCCGCCATTACATTTGATAAAACTCAATAGTCAACTTTAAACCTCACTAGAGGACGCTCGCTGGCTAATATCGTCCCCTAGCAATTGAAAGTAATTTTTATTCTTTGCTTTCTCTCTATTTCCTTTAGTCTTAAAACTTTCCATCATGAGCACGACTAATAAAGTATGTCTTAAAAGATTAACTTGAGCATATATTAACTCAGGGACTGATTGATAATTGAGCCAGGAAAATGTTTGCTACCGATGTATCAAAATTAAAGATTTAATTTAATTAGCGATTAATAAATATATATAGTTCTGTACGCAATAGTCGCATTATTAGTTACTAAAACTATCTATATCAAATATACAATAATTAGAAAAAAAGAAACATCGTACGTACTAATAACGATTTTAAAGTCAGATTACACCGTTTATTCATAATGATTTTATTACAAATTGATTTAAACACCAACAAAACATAACAATAAAATATTAAAAATATATATATTTACAAAATATGCTTTAATAATTCAACAAAAACCTTTCTCGTTAAGAAAAACGTCAAAATAGTAAATTATTTCAACATAAACTTATAAAAAGTATTCAGATATTTTCTGCTCATGTGAGTATAAGAACAAAGCGAAAAAACAAAAACATTATCTGAGTGGTTTAATTCAATTGTTTGAAGCTTATTTAACTATTAAACAATTAATTATGCATTTAGAAATAAATACTGCACCTAAGGTTATTCCAAGGAAAAAGAAAAGGTGAGTGTTCGTTTTAAAATCTCGATCCCACGTAAAATTATTCATATCTATATAACCGTTTATTCATGATTTCAGAAAAACAGTTTGCCCCCGAAAAAGGAAGGTTTGTTTGTTTTTAATTATGCACTACACAAGGGCTATCTGTGCTCTGCCCACCACGGGTATCGAACCTCGGTTTCTAGCGTTAAAAGTCCGCAGACATACCGCTGTGCCACTGAGGGGCAGAAGAAAGGTCTGCCTTTCGAAAGTACTTTATATGTTTTTTTTTTTATTTTATATAACCATGTATATATTTTACATACTCCCTCAGTTTATTTTTCCAAAAGCATTTCACCCCATGGTGGATTAGTAATAAGTCTGAGGACTTGTTTGTTATGGATTTCGCGCAGAGCTACACGAGGGCTATCTGCACTAGCCGTCCCTAATTTAGCAGCTAGTCATCACCACCCACCGCCAACTCTTTTACCTACGAATAGTGGGATTGACCGTCACTTTATAACGCCCCCACGGCTGAAAAGGCGAGCATGTTTGGTGTGAAGAGGATTCGAACTCGCGACCCACAAATTGCGAGTCGAGCGCGCTAACCACCTGGCCCTGAGGACTTATAATGCTAAAAATCTGGTTTCGATGTTCGTAGTGAACAGAGTATAAATACTCCATTCTGTAGATTTGTGCTTAAACAACAAAAGCATTTCAGGTTCGAAATTTTAATAAATATTGGAGTCCAATTTTCTTATAGTTTATTTAATGTTCACATTACACAAGGAATTAGTTAAACTGTTCACAACAATAAAAAATTGTGAATGCTTAACTCACTTTTTTGAATTTTATTTTGGTAATGTTACTGAAGTCAACCACAGGTAAAACAACTGGCCAGCATCAACTAATTTTTAAATAAGTGTATTATTTTCATGACTCAATTTATCGTAGTCATTATTTGAGTGTTTAATTGGAAATTCTGTCTGCTAGTGATAGATAAATATACACTCGTATAAAGAAATATCACCAGGAATGTAATATTTGGACGCATAACCTGAAATTACTACCCATATAACCAGAAATTGTTATATTGAGGAATATGTTACTTGCATGCAAAACGATAAATTACTACGTAATCCATCATCAGGAAGTCGAAATCTAACTCTAATAACGATAGTGTTGTTGTCAGGAAGGACACATCTAGATGCATGTTCAGAAATTACAGTCAGTTATAACCAGGAAGGTGGTATCTAGCTGTACAACCAGAATTTACTATGCCAGCCATCATAAGGTAGATATCTGAAATTAATGTAAATTATCATGAAGGTAGTAATTTCTGGTTATACAGCTAGAAATTAGTGTAAGTTATCATGAAGGTAATAATTTCTGGTTATACAGCTAGATACTCTGTCACTAACATGGTAATATATAGTTGTATAATTAGAAAGTAGTTTATACATAATTATTGCCAACTGAGGAGTCTTGATTTTTGTTTTATGACCACCCAATTTCATTTTGTAAAAATTATTGAATCACAATCTAGTTTATTGCTACACACAAGAGCTATATGGATCCCATCAAGATTACACCATCACTATTATTTGCATATTCAGAAGTGTATTAGAAGAATTCAAAATTAATGTAGAAAAGTATTTGTCACAGTTTTAAGATACAATATTTCGTTTTTTTCTCTCTTTACAGTCATTTATTGGTGTAAGCATAAGAGGTATTGGCTGGAGATGATAGAGCAGAGACCATGACACAAATAAGGTTAGAACTTTAATAACATAGTGAAGCTAAATGTACAGAAAGAGTGCCCAAGCTACAAACGATCCCATTACAATCATGGAGAGAAAGAAAGAAAAGCTCAACTTGGCATTTTATAAACTGACCAAATATGAACACATAAATGAAAAACTATGATCATACACTTAGTCTTTTTAGGATTACATTGATAATACAAACACATAAGAAACAAATTTCCCCATGAAATAAAATATCACCTTGTTACAGGAATGAAAAGAACAACAGTACACTGTAGATATGGAGAAAAGAATAGTGGATACATGTACTAACAAAACTGTATTGGTGTTAAACAATTACCTTACACTACTGTTTGCACATGTAGAAATATCCAAACCATTCCAAAAATAGATGGACGTCAACCAAACAGTTGTCAATATCAAAGACTGAGAAAAAGCTTTATATGATCTAATGAGATATGTAAAAAAAAAAAAAGTCTTCTGTGCTTGTGTAAGTAAACTGACTGTATTACTTCAAACTAAATTCTCTCATTTAAATGGAATGACAGGAATGTGCTAAAATACAAATTTTATTTCAGTAACTTGATCTCTCCAATACAACCGAGATTTAAAGCTCTATTCTTAGCAAGGTGTTAGGAAAAAAAACACCAGCTTGTCAATGAAGGCACCTTAAAATGAACGAGTTTTCTCACATCTTGAATTTTATCAAGCAAAACTGGAATTTTTCTTCTACTTATCGTGAAAAACAAAAGGTCAATCTCAAGTTATGTAGCTAGTGAGTAAATACATTAAGCTTTAGAGGTTTGTGAATCTTTGACCTCCAATCACATGCCTTGTAGTAACAATGAAAGCCATATAGATGACATATATAACAAAATCTGGCTGTAAATAATATACTATTTAAGTGTTTGAAAAATCTCCAAATACTAGAAACAAAACAAATTGAGAATCAGGGTTAAAATGAGAGAAATGACAGCTACTGCTTAGTCACACAAGTGTTACATAATTTGTATTTATTGTAAAACACTTCAGAACATTTTTAAGAAAAATATTTTATAATCAAAATAAAATGCTAAGTCCATAACAATAAAACAAGTTTTAAGAAAAATTTGGTCCAGTGTGCAATTAATGACAATTCTCTAAGAAAAAAAAAGGCATTTTTGATGTCTAATTTTCACATCACATTCTTCAGTGCATGATTTCTCATCTTTTGTTTCACTTCCAAGCTGTTAGAATATACAGATTAAACTATGCAAGTGACTATTGGTTCTTATAATTCCTAATTAAATCAATAAAGTAGGTGAGAACAAGAACTTTCATGAAGTGATACTATTAATGGTTTCCATTCGCAATGGAATCACAGGTGGACAGAATAAAATCATGATATCACTAAAAATTGACAATTTGTTTACAAGCATGTTATGTTCACGTTTTTTCATGCTGAAATAATCAAATAGACAGCAATGTTCCAATCTTAAGTTTAAATTCACTAAAATCCAATTTTTTACTTATTAAGTACAGACTTCTTCAGTTTTTACCAAAATAATTCTGAGTTAACGTTTAAAATGAACAATTTATCACTGTGTAGGTAATGTGCTTTTTGATCTTGTTTCTGTGATTCATGAAAAACTTCTTTACTGTATATGAAAATAGAGCTTTACACACATTTAAATGGCCGTCAAATACAACCACTTACAGTTTCACTAGGAAAAAATACAGCCTTATAATATAAAAGTCCTTACAAGACATTTCACCAAACTGCACAAAATACACAAGTTTTGATATAAAGTACGGAAACTCTGAACTGGTTAAAAACCAACAAGCACATGAAAAAGTTTTTTTTAATTGTAATAGTTTTCTCCTAATATATGAAAGTTTTTTTGTTAGAAACTGGTACATTTATCAACTTCTCAGAGAGATGAAACAGCGTTCCAGAAAGGGTTCAAATAAAGTAGTCTGACATTGGATGAGTTCTGGTAGATGCTAGTCGCACGTGAAACACCAACCCCAATCTGATTCTTGTTTCCAGGTTAGAGAAGCATAATATCCAATGGAACAAGCTGCATGGTTGGGAAGTGGTGGCCAGTTCAAATGGTTGATTTTGAGAAAGACACTCTAAGGTGACTGGATTCTGTTACCTGGTAGTTGTGCATTTTCTGCAAAGACAAAATGAAACCTTAAACTCAAAATATAAGATCAATAAAACCAGTTTCACGTGTGTTACATTACTACCACATTAACTCTCGAAAATAGACTTGTTTTCAAAATGAAACCTTAAACTCAAAATATACGATCAATAAAACCAGTTTCACGTGTGTTACATTACTACCACATTAACTCTCGAAAATAGACTTGTTTTCATAATGTGCACTGTTGGTAGGTTACATATACTGCACTGTACTGTGTAAAGTTACGTATTCGTCTGTCACAACATAAAACCCAAGTAAAAGCATTTTTTGTGCAAAACATATGGTGGATCTCAGAAGCAATTCATATGTTTATTAAAATACTAATGGTAATAGTTTTTTAATGACTTATTATAACAGTGACCCTGTTTAAATTAAAACAGCAAAGTCATGCACCCATAATCAAATTGATGCTTAAATAATTTAGAAAAATCCATTAAAAAATAACAAATCCCAACAAGATCTACATAAACCTTATCTTATCGGTAATTTTAGGGTTAACAAGAAAATGTTTCGTAATGTGTATAAATTAGCTTCAGAGTGTTGAAATTTTAAAACCCAATTTCCAATTTACAGCAGAATATTGTATGACACAGCTGAAACCATTCTTTAGTACTTAATGTTGTCATGTATGTTTGTTTTAAAACAAAATGATATAACATCCAGAAACATTACCATTCAGTTCTTTAGGGCTGTCCCTACACATCCACTACCGAGAAGGATAAATTTACCCCACCCCCTGAATATTAGTGAATATCTTTTCAAACTGTGTAAAATACTGGCTTCCACCACTAAGAATGGATCAACATTTATCAAGTTTCAGAATAAACATAGCTCCTTAAAGTACACCTTAAACAAGTCTTATATTTCATAAACAAAAATAACAAATGTTTCAGACAATACAGCATTGGAATATCTTTTTACTTAATAGTTAACAACTGGAATAACCATAGAACAGTGTTAAGTAGGCACTACAGAAATAGCATAAACATAAAATAACAGTTAAGTTTGGACTACAAAATTAGAATACGGACAGAATAATGGTCAAGTTTGGACTACAGAAGTAGGATGTAGAATAATAGTCAAGTTTGAAATAAAGAAATAGGATAAACTGAATAATTATCAACTTTGAACTACAAAAATAGGATAATGATAGAGTGATGGTCAACTTTGAACTACAGAAGTAGGATAAAGATAGAATGATGGTCGAGTTTGGACTACAGAAGTAGGATAAAGACAGAATGATGGTCGAGTTTGGACTACAGAAGTAGGATAAAGACAGAATGATGGTCGAGTTTGGACTACAGAAGTAGGATAAAGACAGAATGATGGTCGAGTTTGGACTACAGAAGTAGGATAAAGACAGAATGATGGTCGAGTTTTGACTACAGAAGTAGGATAAAGATAGAATGATGGTCAAGTTTGGACTACAGAAGTAGGATAAAGATAGAATGATGGTCAAGTTTGGACTACAGAAGTAAGATAGAATGATGGTCAAGTTTGAACTACAGAAGTAGGATAAAAATAGAATGATGGTCAAGTTTGGACTACAGAAGTAGGATAAAGATAGAATGATGGTCAAGTTTGAACTATAGAAATAAGATAATGACAGAAAATTTGTTAAATATGCACTACAGACTACAGTAAATCTTGAATACTGGTTTAGTTTGAATACGACTACATGTAGCATTTCAAGAAATTGAAAAGTCTGGATTTTATCAGCACAACAAGGAAAGGAAACAAGAGAAGAAGGGTATTGTAAACAGAATTTATAACACCTTTGTTGTGAACATTAACAAAATTACATTGAATCTATACTGCAATTTTAGTGGTGATAGTCAAAGTCAACTCACAATCAAGGCAATCACTGCTTCTTCAATGGATCCCATCTGTATTAGAGCCATCTTCCTATCCTTCCTGAAAAAAAAAGGAATATAATATCTGTGAAGGTAGTTAATCAGAACTGTGATATATATAAATTAATGCTGTGACATTTTATTCACTGGTTTAACTGTATAGCTAAACACTGATACAGTATTCTATTAATCTCTAAAAGTTTTTTGTTTGTTTACTTTCGAAAGGTGGGCCTTTCTCAATCAGGGACAAACTTTCAAGTGTTCAGGTCATAGGGTTTCGTACTTGTATCCAATTTTTACACTTTATGTAAGTCAAGGACGGTCTTTGTTAAACCACACAGTTTAGTAATGCTTATTTGTCATAAGCCTCAACACCTATTACTCAAGTAGTTTCAATAATTAATACCAAACTGACAAACCAAGTTTCAAATTAAAATACTTACTGAAAGAACTTGAAAGCTACAACATCCCCTCCAGTATCTTGGAAAGATTTCTTTATATCCTCCTCTGTGACACTAGCCCTAGAAATAGTTATTATTTTAAGATGTGCTGTACTCTTGAGAAGAAAAAAATAAAACAAGCTGTAAAGTTGGTGGTTCAAATTACTAATTAAATTTTTTTTTCTCTTCTTCTAGACATCAAAATTTCATATGTTAGGCTTAATAATACTTAACAAGAGAGACAAAGTTGAGAAAATTAACATTTTATATTTCTATATGAAGGTCCTTTTTCACGATAGTTTCTCATTTACATATAACACAAGAAAACATCACTTATATACATTCAATAAGCTTAATTTAAATCAAATAACCACGGTAAAATGTATCTGGTATCAAATAACACCTGTGTATATTTATTCTGGTATTTCCTTAGTTAAGTCCAGAGAGCTAACAATATGCATCATTCTATAATTATACTTATAAAGTCAGCTGAAAAGGACTCACGGAATGTTTGAAAGATGAAGTGTAGCTGATGGTGGGTAGATGTTTTGATAGTTTTTGGAGCCTGGTTTTTTGAAACGGTGAAGAGGTGAATTAGTGAAGTCTTTGGTCAAACCAGCATCCTGGAAGAGCAAGAAAAACATCTTTATAATCAGATACAACTACTAGAATTAGCAGTACCACCTTTACAAATTTTTCACTCAACATGTTAAACTAAAGAGGATAAAACAGACTGTGTTATCATGAGTAATCAGTTTCGGTCATTGAAAATCTTTCATTCTTACTAAATGTCAATTTTTTCCTTCACTTTTTTAGATAACTTGGATAGAAGCAATATTTGAATGTTTAAAGAAAAGACTGTGTAATTTATAAACAATATTTAAAATACAATAGGCTCTTAATTTTTATTTGTTTTTGGTACAAAGCTATAAAAACGTTCCTGCAGATGGCTGTTCCAAATTTTGAATTGACGGACTAGCGGGAAAACAGCTATTAAAACAATTACCATCAATTCTGGGAATACTCTTTTCTAATCAACTAGTGTGATTTAACCATAATACATTCACAGTCCCAAGTACATTTTTGTGACAATGGACATGAACTATGAACTTTCATAACCACAGATTAGGCACACTAACCACTTGGCTACACCCGAAAAATGAGTTTGCATATGATACATTTCAGAGAAGTTAAGGAGAGCCGCTCATAAAACTCAAACTATACGATTTGAAATGTTTAACAGTTATAAAATACAAATCAATTCTCACCTCACCACTAGGGAAAAAATAATTATATACATTTAACTTATAAACCAAGATCAGTAATCACATATATATACACAAAGAAACTAAAGTTTGTCGACGGCTTGACTTGTGTAGTGAAAGAAACTTTATTACAAGCCATCTACAAACTTTATATTTTCTAAAAAGATGGTTCTTTGTCAAATATAAAGAAACTATATTCAGATGTTTAACATCTTACAGATTGGCCTTCCTTTGGCATCTGAACAACTTGATGTTTGGATGGGTTCACTCGAATCTCTTTTCCGAACACTTTGATCTTGTCCAAGTTGGTCAAGGCTAAAAACAAAGTAACATGCACCAATGTAGAGCATACCATGAGATAATAAACAGTACAGTCAAACACACTGCTAATGGATTAAATAAAAGTAAGAAATAAAAACACACAAATACAGCAGGTTCTATTCTTTCCATACATTACTTCAAATGTTAAAAAACAGCTCGGATACTACAGCTACATCCACCTAAAACAACTTGGATACCATGGATGTACATTACTTATTTTAGGAAACAAAAGAGCAGAAGACGTACCTAACTGTGCTTGATGTGGCTCAGACATCTGAACAAGAGCATTGTCTTTCTTGTTAAATAAAATTTTAACTCGTACAACATCACCATAGACACCTGGTGAGAAAAAAAAATTGGATTAAAAGTTATAGAAACTATAAAACAAATTTCCTCAACAGTACAATAACCAACCCCAAGCACTGTGCTCCAGTTTTAAAAATGAGAGCCAACTTGCTCTGTGGTTATAAAAAAGCATAACCGTGAGGATGTTCGAGGCAAACATCTACATACAATAAACAACAAAAATAAATTCCACCAAACATATATAAGCCAACATTATCTATATAAAAAACAGGCATGCATGAAATTACTATTTTAACAAGAAACAAACCGGACAACTGAAGTTATAATTTCAGATTAATACCCTCAATGTAATAGATGGTGTATTTGATTAAATCAGACTAAACTTTCATTTAGTTATTACTTACATTAATCATTTTCTACCACTGTGTTTTTCTGATTTAATACATCATCAAGACATTCAAATCGGGTTTGGATTTAAAATATTCTCATTTAGGGTGAATTAGTGTTGCTTCTTTGGAGAAATAGAGTGAAAAGTTATTAAAATGTTTCTTAGTATACAACCACACATCTGAAGTAGGACATTAATAGTTATATTTAAAGGTTTGTATGAAGTAGTGGTGGTACAAAATTAATATTTATTTCTCTATCATTATTTTCAAGGTTTGTATGAAGTAGTGCTGGTACAACATTAATATTTATTTCTCTATCATTATTTTCAAGGTTTGTATGAAGTAGTGCTGGTACAACATTAATACATTAATATTTATTTCTCTATCTTTATTTTCAAGGTTTGTATGAAGTAGTACTGGTACAACATTAATATTAATTTCTCTATCATTATTTTCAAGGTTTGTATGAAATACTATTGGTCAGTTATATATGATTTCTGATGTCACAATCAGAAACAGATGTAGAACAACACAGTTAAGAAATTAAATTGCACTTTGTAAACTGTTATTAGTCTTTGTCCTGTCAGAATCAAAAACTACAGCAGGATACAAAGTAAAACAAAGAACATTGTTTGTGTTTACTGAAAAAAGTCCTAGCACTATATCTCTGAATGAATAAACAAAATACTGAGTGCTGGATTAAAAACATACCAAAAAGGATAAAGAGAGCATCGGGCGTGACCTTCTATGGGTCAGAGCAACAGGAGCGGAGCAGAGCAGCAGAGTGGAAGGAATCAGTGCGTTCCGAATAAAGAAGTCCACACGGGGAAGACACCAGCAGGCCAAGTAGGGAGAGAGAGAGAAAGAGAAAAAAAAAATCATACGAGATAAACAATCACAGTAGATAATGGTAAGATGAAGAGCACACGTACAAATTTGCTCTAGAACATCAACCACAACTAGCAAGAGATGATAGATTATAAAAAAACAAAATAAAAATCTAAGGAAACAGGCAAAAAGTATACAAGGGTTTGGCAATACTTATCTTTCTTTCATATAAGTTTTCAATTAACCGTGCATTGACATTATTTGTTTGAAGCTTCACAGATGGTAAAACTAGTGTTGCCTCCGATATAAGTATGGAGTGGGGTTTCACAGAAAAAGGTAAAAACTTGTTTAATCTCTGGAGTATGTATAGTGCTTCACGGGCAAAAATAAAACAATTCTAAATAACCTCTGAGGCATGTATGTGCTTCACAGGTAAAGGTTAAATGTTGTTTTAGTGAAAAGCTACACAATGGACTATATACACTTTGTCCAGTGTGGGGAATTCACCCATGGATTTTAGTATTGTTAAATCCATAAATTTACCACTAACCCACCAGGAGGACAAGAAGGTTAAACTAGTTTAACCCTTTCACGATGGGCTAAGTACAAAATACCTCAATTCGTATACACAGTAGCACATGTTAAGTATTTATACTACAAGTTTTAATGCAGTACGTGTATCTTCACAAAGTTTGGTAGACTTTTAATAAACATTACAAGTCTTTTGTACACAAAAAATAAGATTTTTTAATGAAGTATTTTACTAAAGATTTGTTTATGAATATATAGTGTTTTGTTACTAGTTCGAGTGTGAAGTGATTTTCATGTTACGATTTAAAAATTATTCTTTGTTCCAAAAATCTCGAATATCATTTGTGTAATCTCTAAAACCTCTTAAATAAATTTCAAATGTTTGTTTTCAGTAAAACTTTATATCTTATCTGTTATTTTCTCTACCCTAACTCTAAATGGGATCGGTCAATTTGACCAACCTTGTAACCACCATAAAAATTTAGGAAATAAGTATAAATTATGTTTTTTTTTTTCATTCTAGAATTATACCACGATAACACAAATGTTTAATCTAAATAGCTTAAATCTCATAACATTATACATCTATATATATATGTTTATTACATGTATTATATTGACCTTTTCAGCCATGCCTGAGTAACGTTACAGAAGTTGTAATGATGCAGTGCACATGTACTCATGTTACAGTATCCAAGAATATAAAACTGGCCTTTACAAAGTGACCTGTCTTGGCTGTGTTTTAGTGGACTTGTATTTTGTAAAATACAGTCACATTTCAGTTATAATACATTATACATGTATATACATTATTACTATTTACAAATAAATTCTTAAACTTGTTTATCTTAAAACATAGAACAGTAAATAAAGAAGTAAAACAAACAATTATCTCTTATAGTTACGAACTTTGTACTCCTTTGCTGCTTGCCATAGGGTGCTAAGCCTTAACAACTTTCACACCTGGAGAATGTGAAACGAAATAACTTCATTTTTTAGTTTTTGCATATACATTTCCAAATAACCAAAAACCATAAGTTACTATATCAATACCATAGAATTCCACTATAATTTATCAAGCTTAGTAATTAAGCTGCATTTGGGTCTAAAAAAACATGAAATTTCAAGGTTACTAAAGTCTTACCATACCACTTGGAATCTTATATAAAAAGAAAGAGTTCCATATCTGTATATTTCTAAAAAGGCTGAGAAAGCCACTAGGGGGACATTCTGAGCTTTCGATTGGTTCTTCACACATCATAGACAGAAGTAGGTGTATATAAGCATTTTCAAAAATGGAAAGAGGTGGGCATGGCCACTTTGTTTGAGTCAGTAAATGTAGTGATATTTCAGCAAACAGAAAAGATAAGAGGTTCTTATTTTATGTTCTAGCTTGTCAATATCAGTAATTTGAGTTCCTATTTCATAAGAAACTATAGACATCACATATCTAATTTGAACCAATGCTGCATTCAACATACCCATGACATACAAAAATCAATATTTAGGTGTTTCTTTTTAATATTTCCTTAAAAATTAAGAAATTAACTAACGTATAATACTAAAATATGAATTATAATATTCAATTTGATACCAAACTTACTGACAGAAATTCATAAAACAGTAGTTGAATAAAATTTTGAATGAGAGTCAACAAACATGATGACATGGCCTTTGACCTGTGTCGATGGGGTTAAACAATCTGAAAACTAAGCAAGCAAAGCAAATACTGCCATTAAGTGGCATATCATGAGTTTCAGGAATGAATACAGAAAAACACCGTGTACATTCTGAGAGAGATACAAGACCAAAACTAACAAATAACATTAACTGAAACCTTTTTATTCAATAAGATATTTAACTGGGAACAGATAAATAAACTGAAGTGATAGTCCAACATTAAATACTTCTATACAAAATGTATGACTTGGCCTTAACATACACTCAAAGCTTCCATAAAACTCAACTATAGGTTATGTTTCATATAACATTAACAATAGAATTATATAACACATGACGTGTCAGTATAAGAAAATAATATCTATGAATGTATCAGCAAACTGTGACATGTCCTTCCTGGTTACAGAGCAGCATTTAATTCAAAATCCAGTAGCTTCTCGAGGGGTACTCTCATTCCAATTCACTTATGTTGGAGTTCTTATCAAACCGTAACACTATTACATACACTACTCAGAGAAAGCAATATTGGATTACAATCAACTTTTGTTATCTGATAGTTAATCAGATAGTTAACTATGTACTACCAAAACCTTTTTTTTTGTTTTTCGAATCAATTTGACTAATAGACTTGTATTATTTTGGGAAACAAAGTATCACAAAGTAAGGTTTTGGAGTGAGTTATGTTCTACACAAGATAAACACAACCTGCTTGTACCTACCTCTTCATTTAGATTGCTGACTAACAGAACACACCCACCAAATGCTTGGGGACTTGGAAGGCCGAGCCCAGCCAGGCTTAGGGTTGTACTGGCCCCAGTACCCGAGGGCAGGGCAAATGCCCCTAAAGGAAGACCTTAGAGGAAAAATGTAAACAAAAGATGTGTAGCATATATTTTTTTTGTGGAGGGATTTAAACCTAAATCTAGCAGCAGATTTTATGTGAATTACATATAAGCACATTCACTGGTTTTTAATCTAGTATCTAAGATAAAAATGACAATCTTACTCTTCATATTCTACACATGATTATACAACTCAAAAAAATAAATGACTAACTGTAATGGAAGTTCATATAATCATGTGAAAGTAAAAATAAAATAAACTTATTTGATATTTCTTGTATATGGTGATTTAAAGTAACTTAATGAAAAAATGTTCAAAATGACAGAGTTACTTTCCTATTTGAAAAATTACCCAAATAATAAATTAGATGTGAGGAAAAAAAAAACAAAAGATACTGCATACCTCCAGCAGCAGCAGCTGCTGCAAAGGCAGCTGTTAGTGGTGATCCTAGGCTGGACAGACCTGCGAAAGGAGATCCCATCATACCCAAAGAACCTTGTTTGGGATAATAAACCAGGACATTTATGAAACAATAATATTTATACCTTTACTGGTAGAATGTGAAATACAAGACAAATAGTGCACCAACAAAAATTATTTCTTTATTATTAACAAACAAGAATTGAAATACTTTTGTTTTACAAGAAATTAAAACAAGTAAACCAAAGTTACTTAAAGCCTCAACGTAGTAAATAAAAAAAAAAATTTTTTTTAACCTGCTATGTTAACGCCACAAAGAAACAACCGCATGTAAAAACTCTTTGTTAAAACTTAGTTATAAAAAAAGCTTAATTGATAACACACGAGGTTATTAAGTTAATCACCAGAAAATCAAATATATCAGAACTGTAAATAATATTCATAGGAAAAAAAAACAATTACAACTGCCAGTTACAGGAAATACATGTAATTTCTACTGAGCAAAAAATTACATAGCCATACTTTTACCATATACTTTTAAATGTAGAAGAAAAATACTTTTGCACAGTTATAAACAAGACTGGTCATTGATATGAAATACTCAGTGATTTTGATATTAAGACAGTCATCAATCTTTTACAAAAGACAGTTATTTGATATTAAAACAGCCAGCAATCTGTTACAAAAACCAGTGATTTTGATATTATGACAGTCATCAATCTGTTAAGGAACAGTAATTTTGATATTAAAACTATCATCAATCTGTTACTAAAAAAAACAGTAATTTGATATTAAAACAGTCAGCAATGTGTTACAAACAAACAGCGACCATTGTTACGAAAAATAGTGATTTTGATATTAAGACAGTCATCAATCTGTTACAAAAAAACAGTAATTTTTTGTATTAAGACAGTCATCAATCTGTTACAAAAAAAACAGTAATTTTTTATATTAAGACAGTCATCAATCTGTTAAAAAAAAAATTGGTTCTCACCTCTAAAACCAATACCATCCAACCCTGTATCACCCATGGGTAAACCTGGGTTAGTAAAATCTCTGCTTTTGTCATTGTTGTATTTCACATTCAAGTTGTTCAGCTTGGAGTAGTCTATTCTTAGTGTGCAACAACCATTGTAGATGTTCTGGCCATCCAAAGACTGGAGAACACATCAACACATTTTATAACACAGATAAAGTACACATTATTATATAAACAGATTGTACAACAAAGAAACATAGATCAAGCATACTTATAGATTTGTACAAATTGTATTATAAATATTTAAATAACTCAACACACCTACTTTCAAGGAAATGATTTAAACATTGGAAATTAAAAAAAACAAAAAACATTTGTACAACATTCCTCAGTAGTAATATATAGCTGTGTAACCAGAAATTACTACATTAGTCATTATCAGGAAAGTGATATATAACTGAATAAGCCCAGAAACTACTACATCAGTCATTATCAGGAAGGTGATATATAACTGAATAAGCCCAGAATTTACTACAGCAGTCATTATCAGGAAAGTGATATATAGCTGTATAACCAGAAATTACTACATTAGTCATTATCAGGAAGGTGATATATAACTGAATAAGCCCAGAATTTACTAAATCAGTCATTATCAGGAAGGTGATATATAACTGAATAAGCCCAGAAATTACTAAATCAGTCATTATCAGGAAGGTGATATATAACTGAATAAGCCCAGAAATTACTACATTAGTCATTATCAGGAAAGTAATATGTAGCTGTATAACCAGAAATTACTACATTGGTCATTATCAGGAAAGTAATATATAGCTGTATAACCAATCATGAGATAGCTATATAACTGAATGAAACAACACACCAATTAACTACAATATAAACATATAAATGAATGAAATACACAATCAGGTATTAAACTACACTAACTATATACAACTGAAACAATATTCACCAATTGACTCTACTATATCTAAATGAATTCAGTACAACTCTGAAGGAATCTCACCAATTTTGCTGCTTGTGCAGTGATAACATCTGGATACTGGATAAGGGCTTGGAATGTTCCTGACGAGAGAGAGAAAAAAAATTTTTTTGAAGAACGTAAACTCGTACATAATGTAAACAGGGAGAATAAACAGTAGTCCAAACAAACAAGATAAAGTTACCATTTATTGAAAATAACTATTAACTCCAGAAAACTACGTTCACCTTTTTTGTTGTCCAATGGTTGAGTTTATTTTGGACAAATCAAAGATTAACCTAATTTACATAATTCTGGAGCTAGTAACCATTTATTTCCAGAAAAAAAATAATTAAAACTCCAGTACGCTTTAAAAGTTTTCAAGCAGTTATTTGTTCCACCAAGAAGATACTCATCAGGAAATAACTGCATTCAACTGAAAGTATATACACAAATTTGCAATTTACTTGAAACGTCTTTTTTAGTCTTTATACATCTGTAGTCAAGATCAGTGGTTCCCAACAGTTAGTCACCAAAAGATCATGTGAAAGTCTTCCATTAAATTCATAATATGTACACGTGTTACAAACAAGTGAAAATGTCTTGTTTCCTTCCTAGTTTTTTTTATAAAACAATCTTAGTCAAGAAACACTATATTGCATATACGCTCCTAAAGATTTTGCTGGTTTTTGGAGTGAAAAGGATTGAGGAACACTGATATACATAATATCCATTGTTCTACTTACCATTCTTGGTGAATGTTATTATCTTCAGAACCTTGCCAACTCTAGAAAATATCTGAAAAATAAAGTTATGTATGTACTTTTTTTCCAACATCCAGGAGGCAATATTTATAAAAAAACTAATGCATTTTCTTCTCCAATTTCGGAATGTGGTTGGTTTTAATTCAATTCAATGACACTTTCTTTGAAATGGTGTTGCTTACAATGACAACATGTGTTTTCTATAATATTTGATATATTTATAAACACAGATGACCAATAAGATCAACTATCTCATTTCAGAAAAGACACTTTCAGCTAACATCCTTTCTGAAGGTTATTAAAGATATTCTCGCTTACTGATAACTGAGGAGTGATACAACGAGTGATAAAAAAAGGCATACTTGATGTAAAACATCCAATGTGATGGGATAAATCTGGTTGTCCACTATGACTCTAAGCACTGTGTTTGGTCCTCCTTGTGTATCGGTTTGGCTTGAGAGAGCTTGGGCTGCTTGTAAAGCTGCCTGGGTTGAAACCTGCTGCATGAGATGACTATTAACAACTGAAAGCTACAACACAAAGACCTACCAAAATGTTTTTACATTTATCTTCAGAATTTGATATATAATGAGGTTTCACTTTACAATTTTCTTTATCATTCTATTAAAGCTTTTGTTCAGGTTCTCATCTTACAAATACCATACTCATCATGTGTTGCAGTTCAGTCCTACATACAAAACTAGCTAGCCACTAACTGAGCTGGGATATATGGTCTGTTTAGTTCTATATACAATACTAGTTAGACACTTATTGAGCTGGGATATGTGGTCTGTTTAGTTCCACATACAAAACTAACTAGACACTTACTGAGCTGGGAAATATGGTCTGTTTAGTGCCACATACAAATCTAGCCAAACAGTTACTGAGCTGGGATATATGGTCTGTTTAGTTCTACATACAAATCTAGCCAAACACTTACTGAGCTGGGAAATATGGTCTGTTTAGTTCTATACACAATACTAGTTACCAATAAGTATCTAACTAGTATTGTATATAGAACTAAACAGACCATATATCCCAGCTCAGTAAGTGTCTAACTAGTATTGTATATAGAACTAAACAGACCATATATCCCAGCTCAATAAGTGTAGCTGGGATATGTGGTCTGTTTAGTTCTATATACAATACTAGTTAGACACTTATTGTTTTGTATGTAGAATTAAACAGACCACATATCCCAGCTTTAACTAGCTACTTACTGAGCTGGGATTCATGCTGTCTGTTTTCAATTCTTTATGGTTAGAAAACTGGACGTAGACTGTGCGGCCTCTGACAATTGGAGTTCCTGAGTTGTTATAGTACTTTACCATTGCCATGGCAGATGTCTCATCAGCCATTTCAAGAAATGCCTAAAAGAAAAAGTTTTTGAAAATGAAAGCATCTATAATGATAATCATGATGTAGTAACTGACTAATTTTATTTTATTTTTTTTATTAAAGCTGAGACAAAATATTTATGTTTAAAAGAATATAGGTAGCTTAGAAATACTAAAGTTTTACTTTTAGTTTGGATGACTTATTTAGAATTTGTGAAGAACCTTTGGCATATTATACTTTATAAATCATAATATTTATACAATCTTTAATAATGATTCTTGTTCTTTAAATATAACAAGCACGATAAAGCTTCTTCTGCCACTCTTTATGTAGACATCAGTAACTGTTACAAGTAATTACGTTATTGAAACATAATTTGAGTGGATCAAGCGTTGAAAGAAAATGTAAGTCAGTTTCTGAACATGAAACTTTTTCTTAAGTTATTCATGCTTATGAAAACCAAGATTTCTGGGAATATTAATAAAACAAAACCAGTTTAAACACAACATTAGATTAAAAATAATTCAAGAGCAGTTTTAACTTAAAATTAAACAAAATCAAAACCAGACTTAGCGTAAATCAAATATAAAGAGTGATCATTTTTGCCAAAACAAAGTTTGTTCCATAAAGAAAGGTCATGTGTTAAATGAAGCACACATGGACAATACTAAATAATACGGAAGATTGTGATTAAAACCCATTTCAATATCAGTCGGCAGAGTTCTTATCACAATATTCAATATTTTATTTCTGTTTATGCTTGAATATGATTACATATACAAGTAGAGTAACAAGGAGCACACTATCATCGTACACAGTAGCAACAGTTACTCCACATGTAAAGTGCATGTGGACCCTTTTCAAATAATACTTTAATTAAAAAAACATTTATACTAGTTTAATCACAATTTTAATATCTATAAATTAAAATGGTTAAATGAGAAAGAGGCAGTGAAATACCACTCACTTGGTTCTTTCCTTTCAGAAGCAGGACATTTGTGATGCGACCAAAAGGAACACCCAAATTAATGACGTCAGTTTCCATAGCTTCATTTGGAATGTTTCGAACATGGACCACTCTAGACGGCTTGTTCAGGTTTCTGTCCAACTTCACCTGAGAAACAGCAATGCCAAGACTTTTGATTTTTACTTCAAAACCCTAAGTTAATTCTTTAGCCTACAGTAATTCAGAAGAACGATGTTCCAACTACCACAATAAAAGAAGTTTCATTACATTGAAGGGTAATTATTTAAACTTGCATAACTTAACATCAAATTATAATCATTTCACAACTTGTCCACACAAATCCATCTTTTTAAAACTTTTTTACTGACTGAATAGTACACAATTATAACAACTGGGTTAAACCAAGAGTATACAGTCCAGAGGGGTAGGAAGGAGTTGTAAAGTGGGGGATACTTGGTTAGACATGCAGATTTTACAATGAGAGATTGATAGTATAAGGAGCTGCTAAATCAACAAAGTCATTTCATTGTCCATTGTTAGTTTGTTATAACAGAAGTTAACCGAGATGGGATCAACCCTTTATCATGCAAGAAAGTTTTTTTTCCATTATCGTAATTGGTTTAAATGTACAGGTGGAGATAATAAAGGGTTAAACATGCTGAAGATTTTGGCAATTCAGAGGTTAGCTTCTAGGATAGATTAAAAACCTTCCTACCTTTTTGGCATCGTTATTGTTATCTCTGTGGTCAGTGTGAGGGTTCATGACACCACCATTACTAACTCCACTTGTCTGAGAAAATAGTTCGTCAGAACCTCTCTGAAAGCACAGAAACAAAATCATAATTAACCAGAAAATCAATGTTCTTAAATCTTCCAAGTGAGATAGGTCAAGAGTACTGTGTGCTTTCGTATAATACAACTTTTGGGCATATTAAATCATTTTAGTGTGTTGAATGGGAAAATTTGATGGCGTGAAATGGATGAGCCTGAGACCTCTGGATGAATGCGTGCATGTACCAATAGACCTCCACCGACAATTTACTGAATGGCATTTTCATATTCCGGCCGTGAAACTGACACTTTCTCTGATTGCTGTGACGTATGCTAGCTTTCCTTTGTGCGTTCTGTTATTTTGTTTTCTTGCCTTCTTGTAGCAACAGCATGAACAACATCATAGTTTGATACAGTGGCTATTAAAACGTAAACAACCCATACAAAGACCAGGTCTCAATACACACAAAGCCATTGTTCTCTACTAATCCTTGGCAGGTGGTGAGTACCATTGCATCGTTGTGGTCAGTTTAGTGACCACACCCTGAAAAATATTTACTATGATTTTAAGAGAAGTGATAGGTGACAAACATCATTTTAATACTGATGTAATTGTGTAACAATTTTGATGATCTTGTGTCTGTAGTGTAGGTCAACATTAGTCCTCACTAATAACAGATTGATGATAAGTTTGTCTTGAACTGTGATATTGGATGACTTCTTGGTTAATAGTCTTAGTGCTGTTTCACATTTATTGATTAAAAAGCACTACTGTGTAAAGCCACAAGTTGGACCGTGTCTACTTTATCACATGATTACAGGTACATATGTCATATAGGGACCAGTGTCCTCTGGAAATTAAAAATATTTCACATTTGAAAACTCAAATTTTGGACATAAACGAACAATACATAACAAGCATTGATTGATTTAACAAAAACATTAATATGTAAAAAACTTTACTGAATTTTTTAAAAAGAATTTTGAGAGTTAACCGTGCTTGTCTCTTCGTAGAAATGGAAAAACGTAATATGTAACCCGCAATGTTTCATATTTTGATTTGTACGTTTGTTTTTAAAAAAACTTAATACTTAATTTAACTAACTTGTATTAAAATTGGACATAGGCCATTTTGGAGAATACCACAGTAATTTCGGATGTTGTTCAACACTGGCCTAAGTCAGTTAGATATCTGCATAACAGGTATTTAGAATATGCTACCCCTCTTCTCAACCCTTTTTATCATGCATAAGCATAACTGTTAAAGTAAGTTGGTAGACCAGAGAAAGAACACTGATGGTTTGTCATAGTGATGTAGTAGAATTTAATTGAGTATGTAAAACGTAATACACACCAGATTGTGTAACCTTTATGAATGTTATACATTATCGAGTGTGGTAAGGTTTTCTAACCTACATTTAATACCTTGTCACTAAATACTGTGTGTTTTGAACAAAGCTACATTTTTTTTAATCATTTAAATTTAGTTTAGAGGATGGAACAACCAAGATGGACCAATAGATCCCACGTTGTCCCAAAATATTGTTATGTTAATCTTCTGGTTGAGGATTGGGAAAGAAATTGATTTATCTTTAATGTAGTGGACATAGATGTTATCAAATTCCTTAAATGTTTTAAATGACATACCACTTGTACATGCTCACCTATATTTTGTTGATTTATGGTTGACATCCTGAACTGTGAATATGAGGTTCCATGGATCATTTCTTGTTATGACCAAAAAACTTGGCTTCACACCTAGGGGATATGGTTCCATTACAACAGTAGTTCTCAAACATACTGGTCTCACCCTGCCTGCTGTGTTCTCTCATATGGCCTCAGCTATGGCATTTCATGTTAGTGACTTGTTTTTGTACCAGCCCACAGAACACACTTTGAGAACCACTGTGTTATAAGAGTGACAGTCAAATCCCACTATTCAAATAGTGCTCCATGAAATGTCAGTGAGTTGTGTTGACAAGCTGCCTTCTCTGTAGTCTATCATTTTAAAGTTATGAATGGCTAAAACAGATAGCCTTCATGTAGCTTTGTTCAAAGTTATAAATGGCTAATACAGATAGCCTTCATGTAGCTTTGTTCAAAGTTGTAAATGGCTAATACAGATAGCCTTCATGTAGCTTTGTTCAAAGTTATAAATGGCTAATACAGATAGCCTTCATGTAGCTTTGTTCAAAGTTATGAATGGCTAATACAGATAGCCTTCAGCTCTTTTCATTCATATACTTGTCAAGCTTTTTCTTAAATTTACTGCCTCTACAACATCTGAAGGCAACCCATTCCAAAATTTCATGTTCAGGTTAGGTAAAGTAACATATGTTCTGTATTAATCAAAGGATAGTTTTAACAAAGTTGTTGACATTGCCTGAATATTTTGGGATTTTTTCTCTTTTAATAATTGTCAAAAGTTAAATCCCAAAATATTTTGAGGCAATAGTGTCCATAAAAAAACTCATTTTGACAGAATCTGTAAACAGGCATTTAAGGAATTACTTTAGAGGTTGATGAAACTACTTAAAACATTTTCACAGTCCAAATGTGAATCTGAAAAAATTACTGATGGTCTGTTTTTACAGTATTTGTCATGGCAATAAATGCTAAATAAAAATGAATTTTTGTTTGTATGTTTATAAGTTGCTTTAATGTCTGAAAAGTAAGCTGTATAGATCAGGAGTCAAACATTTTAAGATAATGTACATAATAACAAAGACAACTTGGTTTAAAAAATTGACTGATTGGCATTAAACAATGTGCCAGAAAAGAAACTAATGATCTCTGATGGGCTCATTCCTTACTTCCAGTAAGTGGATATCATTATTAGGCACATGCATCGTGTGTATCTCTGTATTGAACATGCATAGTTTATCAGCTGTGGTTTCTTCTTGCACTGTGTTAATATTGTTCAGCACCACTGGTGGTCTTATACGAGTGTTATGTACTTTCCAGTTGTGGTAGAGGATTGAGGAGGTAATTGTTTTATATTTACCTGATTGAGGTGTTTGAGATTGTAAAGGGAATTGATAGTGTTGATGTATCATCTTTTTCTTTTATATATTTAACAATGAGAATAGTAGGACTAGGGGACACAAATATATATAAATTTTGGTAAGGAAGAAGTCATTTTCAGCCTATGTTTTGTGTATGTTACATGTATTTCATGTTCAGGTTAGGTAAAGTAACATATGTTTTGTGTATGTTACATGTATTTCATGTTCAGGTTAGGTAAAGTAACATATGTTTTGTGTATGTTACATGTATTTCATGTTCAGGTTAGGTAAAGTAACATGTTTTGTGTATGTTACATGTATTTCATGTTCAGGTTAGGTAAAGTAACATATGTTTTGTGTATGTTACATGTATTTCATGTTCAGGTTAGGTAAAGTAACAACATGTAACATACACAAAATCAAGTAGGAACTAAACTATGTATACATTTTATAAAAGATTGTGAATTAATTTCAAATATAAAAATATTCTAACGACAATCAAAGAAAGACGCATCTCTTACAAAACAAAGGAAGAAAATTTTAAAAAGTCAATTACATGAAAAGTGTACGTCTCCCATTTATCTATTGTTTTAAAGTTATCAGCTGTTACTCTGAATGTTGACAACATATTTCAAACAATATAAACATAAGCCTCTTATTCTGTTAGAAGATTAAAAGTAGAACTTTCCAGTAGTAAATATATAGTCAAATTACATGGATTTCAATACTGTCATATTAACTAATGCTCTACAGAAATACCAGTGTAATGGAATTCTGAAAATAAACATATACAATTTGATAGTTTCCACCAAACCTGCTGGACAATTTTTTTTTTAAATCACCACAACCCTTGGTAAATGTAGTTTGACAGATTTTCAAGTAAGTCAGTTTGGCAACAAAACTGTAACATTTGCCAACATAAAACTTTACACATTTAAGACTATTTCAAATTATACACAGTACACAGATGATGGAACTTGTGCCTGAAAGTCCAAGCTTCTTGCAGGATAACTATACATAGTATTTTTTTAACTAAGCAAAAACCACTCTGTAAAGAGTTTAAACACACATAGCTATGTTTTAATGAATACTAAATTCTAATTTTTTTTTGTTGTCTTCAGAACAAAGTCACTATTTGACAGAAAACTATTATTGTTTTTTTCATCTTATTCATAATGACATGCCTATAATTCTGGGCCATAAAATCATTCAAAATGTCATGGATTAGTTCTAAATAGATCTTAAAATTTTTATAACGTACCTTTAGTCCAGACTTTCGGGTTCCTCTGAAAGAGAAATAAACCATGTTAATTGTAGTAAACATAGTTGTAACAGCAAACATTGAAAGACTGGAAAACTAAGCCAATAAGGAAGTCTTATCCTTGTATTGCTTAACTCCATCAGGCCAAGTCCATTGTATAAATACACGCATGTTTAAGGCAGTGGTTAAATAATTCTTCTTACAAACGAGTTAAAATACTATTAATCAAATGTATGATACAATTTGGACTAGATAGTACCAAAACGTAATTTGCAGAATTTGATCATTTTCAGTTTAAGGGTTTGTACATTGATACTGAGATTATATACTTAGTAAAACATCTGTGGTTTAGTAACACTAACAAGCACTTACAAGTAAGCAAAAAAATTTCTTTAGATATTTATGGGTTTAGTGAAAACTTTTGGGACAGGAGTTCACTTCACACTGTACTTTTTTCCAACATTATAATACAGAGGAAACTTGCCATCCCCAATGAATCCAAAATATTTCTAATCTCAATTCGTCACTTAACAGTTAAATGTTCCATAAACTATGTTTTGAAATAACTTACAGCAATTTTGACAACTTTATGAAAGAATATAAGCCGTCAGAGTTTCTACAAATTACCTTAATAACAATGACAAAATAACCCAACACTAACATCCAATTTTTAGATATTGATTAGACTTCACTTAAAACATTCTTGAGGTTGGACATCTGGGAACTTTGCCCTCCCACAATGCAATGTTCACATAGCAACCAAGGTGAAGGGCAAGGGCAACAAAGGGAAAATTTCACTCATTCTGTACACTTGCCTACTGTCTAGACTCGTATTTGTAGCAACTGCTCGTGACAAACTTTTGTTGTTCCAAACCTGCAAGTTTGGTGAAGAGTTGTTGCATGTCCAATTGAACCAATAACAAGAGCAAAAAAACCTGAACTTTACTTTGTTTTCATACCCAGTCCTACAACTTGCCTTAATAGTAAGCATAAAGCAAACATTTCTGGGATTCTATTCCTAGCCTAGAATAGTCTTAAGACAATTTGTCAATAATTGTTTTAAAAACTATTTCAACCTGGTAGTTTACTTTTTAGTGCATATTTTCCCACAAAAACAAGATACTAAGAAAGAGAGAATAATGTTGTGGCTAAAAGCTATCAACTGCAGAATACAGGAAGCAATAGAAAAGCTGTGGGAGTTAAAGTCTGACTATAACAATGTGTGTTCAGCTCATTTTATGTCATGTAAATGTTGTCTTCCAATTTTTTTTTTACACATGATAATTGTACATGTTTGGGTACTGCACACTGGGTGCTGATAGAGACAAGAATCAAGCCCAATTAATTGTAACTTTACTTGATATCTCGACCAACAACTTCTCCACATATTGATAATACATTGCAATTGATAATTTCACTATCAAACAATAATAGATGGGTGCTACTATAACGTGTCGTCTACCACAGTATCCGTAGTCTACCGGGACTTTTACACTATAGCATGTGGTCTACCAAGAC